TTTCCAAAATATATTCCTTACTTAAAATGCAAACAAAGGCAGTCCTTTTGCATAACCGGACAATCTCTGCTTGTGCATGCATCAGCACGTATGAATGTCAAACCAAGATGCAAATGAAAATCCAGCACTTATATACCAAGGCTATGATCTAAGTACCAATACAACATTTGCCTTCAAAGAGAGGCAGTATCTTAAAAGTGCCAAACAGAATTTATTCTTTATTTTCAGTGGACTCCAAGCCATACATGACAAGCTGTAGCTACTCTCCCCTGCTTTTCAAGCACAGACCAGACTGTTGGAATATTCCCAGCCCTATTTCACTAAGAAGCTGCCAGCACTCTTTCTGTATATGAAGGAAAATGGTGTGGAAGTAACCCATGAGGACTGAGAACCTGCTTCAAACCCATTTGTAGAAAGCTAGCATCAAACTTTGTGTTTGCACCTTAACAGCTAGTTTTCCGACTCTTTCATTCCAGGTATGACCTGACATTCTGCAGGAAAGCAACAGTTTCAGAAATAAAAATTATACTGGATCAAGATACAAGGCTTGCTATAGTCTCTCCTAAATTCCTGACAAAACGTGTGGCCAAGTGATGCTAACATGTGGTATCACAAATTCACCAAGCCAGAAACTATTATTTTCAACTTTGGTGCAAGTTTCATGCTAAAAGCAAACTGGATCTTATGTAAGAGGAATGAGTTCTTCCAAGGGGGGTGGAAGAATCAAACCAGTCCATCCTTTACTGGATGTGGGGGGGGAAATAGTGACAAAGGATGAGGAAAAAGGTGAGGTACTTAATGCCTTCTTTGCCTCATTTTTTATAGTAAGACCAATTGTTCTTTGAGTACCCAGCCCTCTGAGCTGGAAGACAGGGATGGGGAGCAGAATGAAACCCCTATAATCCAAGAGGAAATGGCTGGCAACCTGCTACACCCACTTAGACACACACAAGTCTATGGGGTTGGGTGGGATCCACCCACGGGCACTGAGGGAGCTGGTGGAAGTGCTCACCAAGCCACTTTCCATCGTTTATCAGCAGTCCTGGCTAACCAGGAGGTCCCAGTTGACTGGAGGTTGGCAAACGTGATGCCCATCTACAGGAAGGGCTGGAAAGAGGATCCAGGAAACTACAGATCTATCAGCCTGACCTCAGTGCTACAGAAGGTTATGGAGCAGATCATCCTGAGTGCCATCGCACATCTTCAAGTCTCTTTCAACCTAAATAATCCCAGGCATGTGCCTTCATGGCCCATGAACTTGCCAATGATCCAAAGATCCGAGGCCACAGCGTGTGTGTGCAAGGGGGAACAGCCCTAGGAATTCTGCAGCATTGAGGAAAGCAGGTTTATGACTTCTGGAGTAGTTCTACTAGAGAACCCATCTTCATTTTTTTTTTTTTAAAAAGTCAGAATTATAATTCCTTGAAAGAACAACCTCCTAGGCTTCAGCACCAGCTTTAAAAACGTAAAATAACCCCAAAACACACAAGTGACTGACTTCACAAAACTGGAGGATATTGCTGATGGCACTGACACATCCTAAAAGGCAAGTTTCTAGATAAAGGCACATTGGACACACTATTTAGCAGAAGCATTAATGGCAGTGTGGCTGATACCAAGTTGTTGCTGGTTATGCAAGTTTTTGGATTTTTTAAAATACATGTTTCCAAGAGCATATTTCCTGCTAGAAGATTTTGGGAATTTGTGCAGAATGGATTAAGCCCAGCATTTTGATATAAAACAACAACAACAAAATCAATATTTTAAGTGGGCCTTAACTTACTTCAGGAATACTTTAAAGTGAACACTGCGTTATTATGTTAACTCATCTGGAGCAGAAATTAAAAGACATCAAAAGCTGACCTTGCTTTTATTGATCAAGTCATTAAAAACAAATATATACACACACTCTAGAAGGGGGAGGGTGAGATAAATTAGATTTGTTTTAATAAATAGCCTAAAAGCCCCATACGTAGAGTTAGAACTGGGCTTCTGAAGAAAGGAAATCATACCATTTATACTGCATCTTGATGGTGGGAATGGGAAAAACATGGAAAACACTTGTGTTAGCCCTTGTTAACTTTTCACAGCATCTCCCACCACGACTCCTGCAGCCACACTCAGGACTCCAGAGAAATGGAGGGCTAGGCACAGGATAAAACACAATCAGGGCAGCATCAGTAGCCTCAAGGGACTGTTGCTGGCTGCATTTGAGTATCAAAGGTGTGAAACCAGGTATGAGCACGCCATGTTGCTGTAACTTTTGACTACCGATTCCTTCCAACTTAGAGAGTTCTGACTCTTGCCCAGCTCCATTAACAAGAGAAGCACAGAAGCCACAGTGTTCAACCTAACTATTCTGTTGTGCTGCACTTCTATGAAAGGATGGAGAAAGCCCCAAAATTCTCTACCAAATTACTCCCCATGAAGGAGGTGGGCTATGTCCCCTTCCCTGTCCTTTCTGATCTGCTCCCCTTGATCTCTACACTGCTCCACCCTTCTGTTAATGGATTCTCCACCATCAGATGTAAAAAAAAAGTTAAAAAAACCAACCCTGTCCAAAATGCTCCCAGAGGAATGTTTTCACCCTCAGAACATCATTCTTCCAGGTCAGCCCAAGACTCCAGCATGTCAGTCAAGGACCCCTAGGAAAGGCTGACGTGGCCAGACAGTACCACTGACACAGATGTCCCTACAAGTGAGACTTCTGTGTAAGAGCCAGCTCTTCAGTTTGGGATTTCAAGAACGGTACTGGGGGCATGGCTTTAAAGCCTAACAAGCATGCCATAAAGAAATTATCCAGATTGCAAACAAGTACACCACAACTCCAGCACACCTACCCTTCCCAAAAACCTAAAGGGATCTCTTTAGGCCAACATATCTAGTCACTGAATAGCCACAGAGGAAAAAGTAAAACAATCTAGTGTTCAAGTTAAAAGCTTCCTCAGTACCAGTTCCCAGGACAATCAAGGTAGGTGTTGAATCTCCTGCTCCACACAGGATACTCTGCCACAAGCACTTCACTGCACAAATGCCTGGCATGTTCTTCAACTGAGCACTGAGGCTGACGGATGTAAACTTGTCTCAGCTGAGGGTTCAGTCTTAAAAGGTCCAGAGCTCCTTACAAGTGCTCTCTAAGCAAAACTTTGTTTGGGATGCTCAAAATGCTGCTGAAAGCACAGTGCACCGAGCCCTTCCTGCCTTTCTGCTACTATTTCCCAGCTGGATATAGCCAACTCCAGACAGCCAAAGCACCTTCATCATTACAGAAGCAACCCAAGGCTGGACTTCGCTGCAGGCACCATCCTTTCCATGTAAATACATGGAACATTGCATCCTACAGGACACAGATGGATCACATTGCAGCTGATTAAATGCAACTGCTAGATTGTAAACTTCCTTTGAAAGCAAAGACGATTCCATCTAATGAGCACTACCCTAGACAAGGAATTCACAAAGCACAGAGATAAATACAATGCCCTAAAAAATGCACTCTCTTTGCATTCCCAACTTAAACTGAAAATGAAGATGGAGCCTGTGGTCCCATACTGCTCTCCATAGTTGCTAGGGAATATATCTATATCGGCTTTGTCTGTTGCAGTCAGCATCACAACCACACTGCTTCTCCAAGAGAGATCAGAGCACAGGACATGGACCTGTACGCATCTCGGTTACTGGTTAGTGGCACAACAGCCCTGGCCAGTTTCGTGGCAGCACAGAGGACAGAAGGACTTCTGCAGTTCAGCCAAACATTCAGCATGGAACACCCAAGAAATAAGATGTGCTTTTCCTTGATCCTGTAACAGTGACAAGAGGAGTCAGTTGACCATCTAATCCTTCCTCCTTCCCTCCCCACTAGAAATTTACCCTTTCAACTGCAATGAGCTGGTATTTTAGGAAGCTTTCGGTGCTGGAAAAACAGAGGTGGGCCCACATGTTTCAGCTGTGTTGGACCAGCACGTTCTGTGCTTTTACCCTCATTCAGTTATCTGTCTTTGGAGCTGTAGCTGAAGGAAACTCCATTTCTGATAGATCCATTCATGAGGGGTTTAGGATTCTCTCTTTCAATCTTTTCTCTGCTAAAGATAGTGTCCTGATCGCTCTCAAACTCTGATTCAGAGACCATCAGACTGGAGTTGTGTTCTGTACTTCTGTGTTTTATACCTGACAATAAAAAAGCAAAACAAGCTCATTAGAAAGGTTTCACTTTTTAGTACCAACTAACCGTCCTCTCCTCCGGGGTGATTGTATTGCAGCTTTCCAGTACATGAAGGGCCTACAGGAAAGCTGGAGAGGGGCTTTTTACAAGGTTGTGTAGGGATAGAACAAGGCGCAATGGCTTTAAACTGAAAGAGGGGAGATTTAGATTAGATATAAGGAAGAAATTCTTCCCTCTGAGGGCAGTGAGGTACTGGCACAGGTTGCCCAGAGAAGCTGTGGCTGCCCCATCCCTGGAAGTGTTCAAGGCCAGGTTGGATGAGGCTTTGGGCAACCTGGTGTAGTGGAGGGTGTCCCTGCCCATGGCAGGGGGGTTGGAACTGGATGATCTTTGAGGTCATTTCCAACCCAAACCATCCTATGATTCTAGGACAGTGATTTCTCAGGATGATTTTATTTCCCCTAGATTCCAATATTTCCTCTGCTAAAAACAAACTCAGCTAAATGACAATATATATGAACAGAGGGCAGCAGCTGAAGTCTACTGATGTTTAACAGGGCACTTAATGGCCAGGAGGGAACTGCTGCACAGCAACAAAAACAGCTCCAAATTGAACTGTGTGCAGGGGAGGAGAGGTTACAGAGGGAAAGTCTGTGGGACAATTAGATGTTCTAAATTAAAATTAACGAAGAAGCTCAAGAGCAATGGCTGAGCCCAAAGCCTCATGAAAGAAATGAAGTGATTCTCCCCCACCATTTCCCTGTCCATGCTTGCCTCTGTCATTCCCAAACTCGCAGGCCAGATTCTGGGGTCTGCCTGTCTGCAGGTGTCCATTTAAACACATCGACTGTAAGCTTGGTGGATGAGTTCCCACCTGAAACAGGCAGCCCTTACCGTATTTGGGTCGTAGCTCCATCCTCTCCTGCTCATCTATGTTATCTAGGATGGTATATTTTGTTTTCTTTCTTATCTTTGTCCTCTTCCTGCTAAAAGGAAAGTTGCCAAAAGACATTTAGTTCTCATGGACACATACAAATCCACTCCCTCTCTTTTTTCATACACAAAGCTACATACCCCAATGCACAACCTCATAATACTTTCTCATCTCCACTTGAAAAGAGCTGTTCCAGTTTATACCCATACAAAGCAGCTGTACAATGTAAACCAGAGGATATAATTTATTTTCTCTCTGACAGACAAAGATGAAGAAAGCAAGAAAGACTGACTTGCTTTCCTAGGCCACAGGGGTTCAGTTTGTTCAATTTCAACATAGTAGCTAGGCACAAGGTAGACATTTATTTGTTTCCAAATAAAATTAATGTATGAATTGGTAAGTCCTCAATTTATTTTTTTTTTTAAACTGAAAGAATTTAAGTGGTGCTTGTCTGGTTATGCTTCCAGAGAAGACCAGGCAAAAAATGGAGATTGGCTCCCCCATGCATGCAGGGACAAAGCCCTATGGGTCTGCAGGCAAATCCCCACCTCCCTCCCCAGCATCGACCTCCCCAGTGCTGCAAACATCATCGTCTCTACGGTAAGTTTCAGCTATTTGCAGGAGTTACTCATCTGCTCATTGATACAGAAGGGAAAGTCCTGGAGCTAGAGGAACCAACACAGAACTGTTTTTTGTATTGGATCGAGAGGGAACAAACACAGAATTTCAGGGTAGACATAAGGGCATTCGCGCATGAAACCAAGGGGGCACCTCCTAGAACATGCTGTCACACCTCAAGCGTTTTTCTGGCCCTCTTTCTCCTGACTTGGGAGCTGTGTGGGTGGGTGGGATGTGCCCTTTGTCAAGGCGAGCATTGACTCTGACAGTGTTTGGAGAAGCACTCCCACCCAGGCTGCACAGCTCCCACTGGAGAAGCCACCTTCTGCTGAGCCTACATTCCAGCACCAGCCAGCCACAAGTTTCCACAAGGATAAGGGCATCTCTTGCTTTTCTGTCCTGTGCAGCACTTCCCTCCTCTTTTTTACATGTGTCCGTATCAACCAGCCCTCACTCTGCCACACGAGGACAAAGGACAGAAGCAGCTGAACCCCACAAACAATCCCTTTCTCATCAAATTCACAGAAGCCTGTGGGGTGAAGTGGGACACACTTCTACTTAAAATTATTTTACTCACAGCACTGTTCCTTCCATCATAAAACCCAGCATCAACTCCCCCGTGTTTCAAACTGCATCCTTTACATACTGCACAGACACCTTAGAAGTTGAAAATCCAGAAAGATTCTGACGATATTTCATTTTTGCTAACACCTGAACAAGTTATCTACTTGCTGGGCTTTTTGAGCGGCAGCAAAAACGCTTCCTCTAGTGACAGAACTTGCAGGGACTTGTCACTTGAAAGAGAAATTCGTTATCAGCTCACTAGGAAAGACTGGGAGGGGGAAAAGGCAGAGAGGGAAACAACATACAGTAGATAAAATAGTTTAAGGAAAGAGGAAGTGAGAAGTTTGCAAATCTGAGATGGTTAGAGTACTCCTTGCCTGCCAGCCACATGCAGCCCACATGTCCACCCTTCCTGTCCAAGGGAGACATCAGGTTGGGAGCAGCTCCCTTCCCATGGCCTAGAACACTCCTATGTCAGTGACCTTCAGGGCATGCCTCTTTTTTCTTAGCATGGAGTACGTGGAGGACTCAGTGGGAGACCATAAAGATCTGCATTTTAACGTAAATTATCTCTTAATATGAAGGATACTCCAATATTGGCTTTCTGTTTCAAAATGTAGAAGATCACAGAGCCACAAATGGACACTACCTTTTCCAACAAAAGTGTGTCTGTACAGAAATAGCTACAGGAAGCTCCTCACGTATCTGACATGAGTTCAGAGGTTTAGTGCTAAGGACCAGGCTAAAAAGTGGCAGTTGTGTTCAGTTTTTGCACACACCCCATCAAAAAGAAGCACAAATCACGCACCTTTTGCAGCAGCAGATGCAGAGCCAGGCAAGCCCTACCATGAGCACAATCAAAATAAAAACAGATACACACACATAGAGTATATTCCACTCTGAAAAAAGAAACACAACAGTGCTTTGTTAAGTAATACGAACAGGATAATTTCTAACACCACTCTATTAAAATAACCAATCCTGAGGAATGAGGAGTGGCAACAGGAACTTAGAAAAACTTAGCACCTTCATATTCTCAGAAGAATCCTTAAAAATTCTTAAGCTTCCACATTGAAAGTGCACATTTGAAAATTTTTTTCCATTCCAATACCTTTTTACCATCTCAACTTACCCGAAGTCTACATGGGAACTGAAAGTCAAGAGGGCATGTGTCCTGGGTTTGGCTGGGATAGAGTTAACTTTTTCCACAGGAAGCTGGGAGGGGGCACAGCACAGGCAGCTGCCCCAGCCTGGCCAGGGGCTATTCCATACCATGGGATGTCATGCTCAGAGTACAGACTGGGGGAGCCAGCTTCTGGGTGGACAGTTCTGAGTGGTGAGCAGCTGTAGCCCTCGTTTTGTGTTGTTCTTGTAGTAGCATTACTGTAGTTATTATCCCTTCTCATTTTTCTTGTACTGTCCTATTAAATTGTCTTTACCCCAACCCACCAGTTTTGGCCTTTTCTCCTGATTTTCCCCTCCCTACCCCACCAAAGGGGAGGAGGGAGTGAGCAGCCGTGGTAGCTGAGCTGCCACAGC